GCAGGGGGGGGGGCTGACTCCCCCCCCCCCCGCCAGCGCTGACAGGCGGAACAGACGAGGGAGGGGGCGGGTACAGCTGGCTCTGCCTCTAGATAGGCAGAGCCAGCTGTCACTCACGCAGCTGGGCGGATCTTGACATCGATGTCGGTATCCGCTGCGGTGTCTCAGTATATAGGGAGCTGTAGCTCGCGGTATACTGATCTTAGGGTGACGGGAGGACGCTAGTTTGTGTCCTCCCGTTACCCTGAGAACTATGGGGAAAAGCCCTGACCCCCATAGTTCTCCTTTAACTCTTACCATAACATAGATAAGGTCAAGGAAGATTATTTCCTGCCAGCTTATTACACAACGACTCAGCAGTGCAGCAATGCTTGGTTACTGTTCAATTTGCTAGGCCAGCACCACAGGAAGCAGAAGCTGAATAGGGAATAGAAGAGGCAACTTTCTGGCTTCATCTATCTGCTATCTTGCAGGAGTTTGTGATTCATGAGACCAGGCTCTGATTACACGATCTGCAAAAAAAATCATTGCTGCCAACATTTTGAATTAGTGATTTGAAAAGTGGGCACGAAGCCGCGCACAATGGATGGAGCTCTGTGCAAGTGTTCGAGTCAATGGTTCACTAATAAAGCACTAACTGCACTCACAGCTGTAGAAGATGTTTAACGATAAGTTCCGGAATCCTGCGCTTTTCCTGCACGTTGTCCGACGGCCACACCACCGCCTCGCAGATTGACGCATCCTGGAATCTCCGGAGCTCCGATTTTGTTCCCCAGAACTTCCTGAACTCTACGGCCTGTAACAGAGGAGAGGAGTACGGGATATTGAAGTCGATTACAGAGCTTAAAATGTTGGTGTATACAATTTGGGATGTGGCACCTTTGATTTATGTGGTTGTATCATAGATTACAGAGCTGTCACAACTAAAATCATTATGTTACCCTACAGGAACTCCCTATCCATAGCAAATTTGTTATAATTATATGTAATTATATGTAATATGAAAGCTGCTGAGCCTGAGAAATCTTTTTCTGAAGTCCACAAGGAAAACAGGAGTGTCGATCCGCAGCTGTAACTGGTTCGTCCCTCTGACCCATTCACACCACATCATCTCCAGACCAGATCGTTTGCGGACCGAAAATGCATCCTATGCTATTTCTGGCCTCTGTTCATACCAGCGCAGTCTGTTCCAGACCAGAAAAATACTGCATGTATTATTTTGTCTGGTCTAGAATGCACTGGAATGCATGGAAACGCATCCAAAACGCACCTGAAAGCCCATTTTAAGCGGGAAAAATAGCACCAGAACACAGCAAAACACAATGCACTGCGTTCCAGATCTGGTCCGGAAAATGGTGTGAGCCTGCCCTTACAGGATACAACAGTGAGGAGGAGGTAAGAGGGGTGGAAACCAGTGATAGAAAGAACATGTGCGCATTGCAGTGCACCACTATGTGAATAGTAAACCTGTAATAATTAGCACCCTGAAAGTTTAAATTTTTTGAAAATCCTTTCACAGGGCTAAGCAGGTGCACCCCCACCCTACCCGTGACAAGGCTTGTAATAGGCTGCTCTGTGCTGAATGATAGGTAAGCTGTTCCTTGAGCAGCAGCTAGAAACCACAATGAGCATGGCTACAAATATGAATGAAAATGGCCAATGGCACGCAGGTGCAGACTAAAAAGCAGCCAGCCAGGTCAATGCTAGTGGCAAGATTGCTGGATTGCGCATGAAGCAAAAAAAATAAACCAGACTGATTGCACTCGGGGGTCTGATACCTGCCGGCGGCCATCTTGGTGATGGACGCCGGCAGAGAGAGGAGGGGACAGTCACCCGGCGGGATAAGGTATGTCGCCGGGTCACCTCCTCTCTCCTGATACTGTCGGGCGTTAGGTCCATGACCGAGCGCCCGACTTTCCAGAGGGGGGTGACACCAAAATGACTGAGTCATTTTGGTGTCACCCCTCCAATGGTGTCACCGGGGTGCGGGCCCCACCCCCCTTATGACACCACTGTGTAGTCGTCCTGCAAAAGAGGGTCCCTCCTGCAAAAAGTTCAAACACACACAGCAATGTATAATACTCCAATAATAATTACCATTAACATGTAGCTTGACTCCAATCTTGGCTCTCCAGCACAACTGGAGCCATTGCATCCAACACTTCTGATGTGTCCTATGCCTCCCCACTGCGGTTCCTCGGTGATGGGGCAGAACACAATGAGCAGTAGGGAGCAGTAGGCTTTTAACAAATTTAGAAACATGAGATGCTAAAAGACGTGGAGGCTCTACTTGTGCAAGAAAGCAATTATTTGATTTAACCCCTAACCTAATGGTATGATTAGTGTATATTACATTGCTCGAAGTGTTTTATCTATTTTGCAGGAATTACATTGTTTCTTTAGGAGCTCTGTTGCCCCGAATGATCAGTATGTGGTCAGGGGAAAAAAAAAATGACTGGCCTGTCCCCATATCTCAAAACAGACAGATTCGAGGGTAGTAAGGGCAATCATTAGAGGTGCGGAAAGGTGTGCTAGGTTGCTCTCTATTACTGCAGTGTACGGGACGTATGTGCTGTATATGTATTATGGATCATGATTTAACCTATTCATGTTAGCAGGGCAGAATTGTGAGTGCCTCCCACAAGCTGAGCACCGAGATGCGATGCAGCAATCCTGCCCAGCGCCGACTACAAGAGGCATCGCGTGAGGCTACGGGGATCGGAGTGAAACTGTGAGTAAGGGAAGCTGGGATGGGGCTGGCTGTAAATCTATTGCTATAGTGTACTGGACGTGTGTAATGTATATGTAGTGCATATATACAGCACACACCTCCACTACACTCCAGCAATAGAGTTACAATTCTCCACTGCTAACATGAATAGGTTAAACCATGATTCATAGTACATAACATGTAGTTGTACTATGGATCATTTAACATATTCATATCCAATCGGTAATTGGTATCGGCAAGTACATGAGGGGATGTACTTGTACTTGTACTTGGGCCTGAAAAAGGGGCATCGGGACATCCCTAGTTGCCATCAAGCAAAATCTGAGCTGGGACCGACCAGAGAGATAAAAACCTATATACATAACATCTTCTCACCTCTGGACTGTCTGCAGCTGGTCCTTTCTCCAAGATGTTGGTGTAAAACTCCGGGGTCAGCAAAAGGCCTATCGACAGTGTGCCAATGTCCATGTGCTTAGCAGGCTCCTCTGTGATCTCCCACTGCGAAGAAAACAAGCAGCCTCTCAATACAGACAATATAGAACAAAATAGATATAATAATAAAACAATGACCCAATACAAATCTGCAAACGATCTTCCAATAAATCAAATGATTACCATTTAAACGTAAAACGAAATCCCAAGCAAATGATTTAGTTCAGTTAAAGTATTTTTACATACAGAAAGCTTCACCAACTCAATTTGCCTTTATATCAGCTCCCTGCAATGGAGCATTGCAGGGACGCTGATATGCAGCAATGCACGGGCAGCATTTACACTGGGAAAGGAAGGAGCGGCATCCATCTAAACAAGATTATATTGCTTTGCAGTTCTGCCAGTCTAAGATGTGAACATGTTAGGAGAGGAAGGAGCAGAGGGATGGCCTCACCAGGCCTGGAGGTCAGGGAACTGGCTATGCTCTGGCATGTGTTCTTGAATCACAAGAACACGTCAGAAATCAAAATCCAGGCAGTAAAGACAGCTCATATTATATGAAGTCCGTGTACTTTACAGCATTAAAGGAGAACTATGAGGTAAGTGTTTTTCCCCATAGTTCTCCTAAGGGTCACGGGAGAACACAAACTAGCGTCCTCCCGTGACCCAAAGCTCAGTATATCGCGAGCTACAGCTCGCGGTATACTAAGATCACCGCAGCCGGGACGGATCCCGACATTACTGTCGAGATCCACCCAGCTGCTTGAGTAACAGCTGGCTCTGCCTATCTAGAGGTAGAGCCAGCTGTACCCTCCCCCGTCTGTTCCGCCAGTCAGCGCTGGAGGATCGGAGCGGGGAGGGGGGAATCCCTGCAGGGAGCCGTGAGTGACAGTCACTGTTCTCTGAAGGGGGAAATGATCGAGAAGTGAGCGAGTGACGGTATGTGTTCGCTCACTTCCCGATCTATTGAGCCGACGTGTGACAGTTTCATTGTCACAGGTCGGCTCAGACTATGAGGAGGAGTGAAAATCGCTCACCTGTTAGTTCTTCTTTAAGAAATTAATTGGCCGAACATAAGACACTAGAAAGTATCTGCTACTACCTCCCTTGGACTTGAAATGCCCCCTTAGCACTCCATCTGAGGCTGCTTTCAATTTACTATGGAGACCTCATAGATTAGGACCACACTACCCAGAGGGGCCTTGACGAGGCTGTTTGTTGCAAACGTTGTACAACTAAAACCTCAGTTTTTTTACCCTAAAAGTTAGAAAGTATAATTTGTTGTTTTTTTTGCAGGCGTGCTGGTGAGTGTGCTGGGAAACGTTTTGCTTTTGTACGGTGTAAAGCCCTTCCATGTGCACCTTGCTTTAAAGCTGGTTATGAATTGATGTGTTTGTCATTTGTATAACTTGTTGGATTTGGTATGGGGACGCACTGGGGGCTTCAGCTGCTGTTGTGATGTGCTGGGCTTCTACGTACACTGTACGTCGTCAGTCACGAAGGGGTTAAGGAGGAATGGGCTACCTCCTGGTGAACCCGCACCAAATTTATCCTTTGCTATACATGCTCCAAGATGGAGGCTCCCATAGATTAGAGCTGGGACCTCACTACACACAGGGGCTTTGATGAGGCAGTGTGGCTTCCACATATTTTGCAAACATTGTGCAACAAAAATCTCTGATTTTAACCCTAATAGTCAGACAGTGTTATTTGTTTTTTTTTTGCAGGCTGGCTAGTAAGTGTACTGTGTAAAGCCCTTCATGTGCACCTCACTTTAAAGCTGGTTATGAATTGACGAGTACGTTTAACATTTGTATTACTATGAAGAACCGACTTCCTAGCCTCGGGGCATAAATTATGCCTTCCTGACAGCCCCAAATCCAATAAAACCCCCTTATATTAAACAGGTGGCCAGGGCTTAGGCCAAGCGTGGTCTCCAGAGCAAAACAAAAGCAATCTCAAGCAGATCTGTAAAACTAAGTCAAGGCAACTGGACTTGCTGTATTTGTGTTGAAGACATTTCACTGGTCATCCAACCAGCTTTTTCAATTCAGAAAGCTGCTTGGATGACCAGTGAAACGTCTTCAAGACAAATACAGCAAGTCCAGGTGTCTTGACTTATTTTTCACCGATATACCATGACTTGGATGAATGAGAACCTTCACAGACAATCTCAAGCAGGGCACTGAAGTGGTTCTGGAAACGTGGGGGGCATATCAGACACCAACGTTTTGCAGAAATAAACCATCACAAACTGACAGCTGGAGCTTTATTCAACAAAGATTCTGTCTTTTCATGTTCTTACGAAATAAGCCACCAGATGCTGGCCTCTGAAAGGCTTCTCTCATGTTACCTCCGGCCTCTGTGGCAGGGTGTGCGACATCAAAACAAGCCTCTGGTCCAGGCCCCTCTTCAGCACAGGCAGTATGAAGGGCAGCGAAGTCGATACGTAGTCTCCCCCGCGGTCTATCAGCTCGTTATGAAGATTCATCTTATTACATGTGCCCTGTAGCGTAGTCACTTGTGTGATACTGCAAGGGAAAAGATATAAGCTTTAATGGATGCACGGTGTGCAGCTCCCCAAGGCTGCAGGTCAATGGCCCCCGGGTGAAAGAGACAATTATTACTAATATTCTAACAGAAGATAAGAGAAGGCAACAAGCAACTTTGCTGAATTCTACATAAGCAGTATCATGACTCCAGTAATAAAAGGGCGATTACTCTGATCAGCCTGAAGCTTTAAATCCAACGAGGAGGTGGCCAAAGCATGCAGCAGTGCCTTTTATATCAATATCAATTTTATTTAAAAGCAAGAAAACCCACAAATCCTCTGCTTAGAAATAAACATAATATAAAGGCATCACTGCATCCCTTGGTGGCCTTCTTGTTTGGATTTTGGTGCCCAAACATAAGCACACTTTTTCTTAATTACTTGAGTTGAACACGTACTGTATGCCCCTCCATCTGGACAAGCAAATTTTACTGCAGCAGACTCTAGACTTCCTTAAAACTAGTCCAGAGCAACCTTTGTGGGAGAGGTGGGGGTGAAAACTATGAATCTCAATGGATTTCTACTAGGGATGCACAGATACTTTTCCGAGTACCAGTGCCGATACTTGGCATTTTCATGAGAACTACCGGGGTTGCAGCGGTTGCAGCTGGGACCGGGCTCTAGCGCTCCACCACTGTCCTGAAATCATTGGTCTGTATTGTTTTAGAAAAACTGTCACATGACAATAAACAAAAATGTATCAGTACTCGTACTTGTAAGTACTCGGCAAGTACCAGTACTCGTAAAACTGGTATCTGTGCATCAATTTATTTATATGTATAAAAACAAAATCATACATTAAAACAGAGATGTACAAATCCCGGGAGCTCCGTGTGCTCCTTACACATGACAGCTGCCTCCTAAATTTGTAATTTTTCTCTAGTCTAGTCTTGGAGCTCAAAAGTATCGGTACATGTATTCGTACTTGTATCGAGTACTGTACTTGGTATCTGTGCAACCCTAATTTCTACACTGTAGAGCCAGAGCTATGGAATATAAATATGAAATAAAACAAATACAGTGCTGAGTGGACTTAGCATTTCAATGCAGCCTGTTTAAATCAAATCTGTGCCTTGTTAAAAGCAGGGCAAAGCAACAGGTTCACTTTAATGCCAGCCCCACCAGCAGAGCATATTCACTTCACTCCCCACTGCTCCACTCACACAATCAGAGCAAAGAAAAGCATTCAGTAATTCAGGCTATGGAGGACGATGTGGATCACCAACTTCCTCCTACCCGGTAGAACTGGTGCTGGCCAACTGGCTGCTCAGGCAATTAGCGTATTTACATGGGGGAGGGGAGAGTGTCCCCTACCATGTGTAAGAACCAAGTCATGACTTGCCCAGGCTCCCCCTCTCTTCGCTTCCGGCAGCTGAACGAAGCATTGAGGGGAGAGAAAGCCGGTGCAACTGTTGGGACCGCGGCCAAAGTGAACCCTTTTGCTTTGCATAGACAAGGGGTAGGCAACCTTGGCAGTTTAGCTGTGGTGAAACTATAAAGTCCATCATATCTCAGCCTCTGGGACACATGTCTGTGGCTGTAAGTCTAGCAATGCCTCATGGGACTTGTAGTTCCACAATAGCTGGCGTGCCAAGGATGCCTAACCCGGCATAGACAAAAGCACAGGTTCCCTTTAAGTTGTATGTATGAATCAGTTTAAAGAGAACCTGCAATGGTTTGTACCCAGTTTTATTTAATTTTTTTCAAGAATAAATTTGTATTCATCTCATTTCATATACAGTTCAATTATATCATTATATACATAATGATAACAGTAGCGTCTACATCCAACAGCTATCTCTTATCTACAATTGCTTGTCAACTAATACTTATAATCATCAAATGCATAAAAAACTGGTCCGCAATCATAAATACTTGTATAACTATTATAACAAAGATGGTATATTGTCTAAAATCCAGTACCATTCGCAGTCTAACACTTTAAAAAAAAATAATCTCTGTTGAGCCAAGAAAAGCCATCCATGGTCTCCATTTTTCTACAAATATCGCGTGTCTATCATATACACGAGCTGTCAATTCTTTCATTCGCATTATGTGGTTCAATTCTAGTACCCATTCCCGAATCTCAGGGGTATTTGATTGTCTCCATTGTCTTGGAATTATCGCCCTTGCTGCCAGTTTTATTTTATTAATACTTGATATGCTTTTAATTTTTTTTTTTTTCTATTTAAATAAAATCCTCTTCTACAGATAAAACGTATAAGCCGGCATACTTCGGGAAAAGAATTCTCAGGAACTGAGCGGCATTCGATGGCATGGGCGGCAGGAGAGATAACATTATTCTACTGCTACAGCTTGCCTTGAGAATTTTAGCTAAGCACCAGGATCATGTTTAGGCCTCATTCACACAAGAAAAAGCCGGCACGTATAGCTCCGGCTACGTGCACGGCCTTATCGGGCCGCTCTGGGGAAGGACAGGTGCTGCGTGTGATTAGAACGTAGCCCCCGTCCTTCTCCATGGGAGTATGCGGCCGTGCGCTCACCTGCCCTGCATATCCGTGCGGGTGTCTGTACTCGTACACTGACAGGATGGAGCCTGTCTGCGTCCGAGTCGGGACACCCACACCCGTACACAGACCTGCACTTGGGTTGAGTGTAGGGCGGCGTACGGCCGCTTACTACCATAGAGAAGGACAGGTGCTGCGTACTAATCACACGCAGCACTATCCTCCCGGGTACTGCCCGATGCGGCCGGGTACTGCACGATGCGGCCGTGGACGCAGCACGGAGCTGTACGTGCCGGCTTTTTCACGTGTGAATGAGGCCTAAATATTAAATAGCCAAAGTAAGAATTTCTGCGTGATACACTTACTGAAAGACATGATCGAACGTCCTAACGAAAGGTTTGCGGACCATGAGGAGCTGGAGGAAGCCGTTGGTCGCCGTGTCATCCAGGTACTTCAAAGACTCCTTTGCTTCAAACTGAATCTGCAAATGACAGTAACATTCAGAATACCAATAGCCAATAGATGATCTTTGCTCCACGTCACCAACAAACGCGGAAAAGGCCGGCCACTGCGACAGCAGGAGCAGACCATCGCTTGCACGCCTTCACCTACCTGTCTATACTTTACAGCTGTCATGTCGCCACACAGATTCACCACTCCCAGCGGATCCACAAAAACCACTTCAAACGCCCGGTGAAAATCGTCAATGGAGGGCTGCGGTGCAGAAAAAAAAAAAGAGTGTAAGGAATGAAAGAAGGTTATATTCAGTATGATTTTGCATATAAAAAAACCCCATAAATCTTCAAATAAAGTCCAAACAAGAGCCCTTGCACACTGACCCAAACACTGCAACATCAGCTTTAAGCGGAAGGAAGCATTACATTTCCATTTTTTATCTTATAGCGCATTCTCTATTAGGCAAGATTGGGGGTCACGTCGGGTAAATAGACACCAAACATGTCAAGCCTTATAACTGTGTGCACCCGAGAAAATCGCACAAAACTACCATACCCACAATGGCCATAGGCGACATTTTAAAAGCTTTTACCTTCCATCAATTTAGAGGTGATTGATGGCCCGAGAATTATTGCTCGCAGTCCGACGTTCGCGGTGATATGTAACATGTGTGGAGCAAGTCTTTTTCGTATATAGGCGCACCGATGCATGCTTGCGTTTGTATGTGTGTGTGTACGTGGGGGCTGGGGACTTTAAAAAATATTTTGTGTTTTTTTCAATATGTGATCACATGGGGTCCAACAAGCTCCCTATGTGATAGCACATATACAAGGACAGGTCCTCTTTATGGAGACATCAGGGGTCTATTAGATCCCTAATGTCACCTAGGGACCCCCAAAGAAGCTGATGAAGCACAGGTTTGCTTCACCAGCTTCTTCGCTGGCTATAGTAGCCAGAGAAATGACAGAGTGGTAATGGAAGGGATGTAAATAGGGATGCACGGATACTAGTATCGATATCGGTGCCTATACAGAGTATTTGGGCGGGAACTCGTACTCGCCCAAATGCTCCGATACTTACCCCTGATACCGGAACTTCCAGTCAGAGGGAAATGACCTGCCGCCTGGCTTCCCGATTGGCTGGGAAGCCGGCTCCATGCTAGAATAAGTACCGGTATTGCAGAGTACAGAAAGATAAATATCGGTATTCGTACCCTATACCAAAAAAATGGTTCCGGGACATCCCTAGATGTAATACGTATCACTTCTGGGTTTAGTCATTGGGCTTTTGCCGATCTCCCTCCTATGTAAGACTACAGACCCGCCATGCTGGTCCCAGGCCCAAAAAAGCGACAGCGGAGCCTGGGATATGCGGCAGGGGGAGGGGGGGGCTGCACACTCCTATGCACCATAAAAGTGATTGGGCAGCTCTATAGCTGCCCAAATGCTTGTATGTAAAAAGCCGTCTCCAGCTGTTTAAATTGCTGACGGCTTGCCGGTCGTTTAAAACACCCACACGCACTCGAGTGACCTGTCCGGCTGTTTAATTACAACAGCCAGACGGGAAGGGGTTACAGGAATACAGTGGTAATCCTTTACATTACATAGTTATGGTAACTCTAAAGGAGATTGTACAGTGTAATTGTAATGCATATGGTCAGTCCTGCATGGTACAAACATGCTCAATGCCATCTCATGACACCTGAACCTACCAGGGACGTTTCGGTTGATCTGGACATTGTTATTCCATTAACTGTCAAGTCGGTGTTGGCTGCAAGAAAGAAAAAAAAGGCAAATATTGGAGGAGGCAAATTCTAAATTAAAGTGTTTCAAGCAAGAAAATATTCAGTACACCTCTGCAACATATGCGCTTTTTTTCCCAAATGTTTAATGCCTTTAAAAATGCTGCAAGTGCAGAAAAATGCCTACTGATCTGCCAGAAATCCAGTGTGCCCCTATCACAGTGCCTCTGCTGCTCTGAATCCTCAGGCAGTGTTGCCAGCTTTTCCCGGTGGACTATAGAACTCAGCCCATATCTTACCCTTCTACACATGTATTCAATGATGTCTTTGTATACAAAATTCAGTTAGGACTTACCGGTAACTCTATTTCCATTAGTCTTCCAGAACAGCATCACGAGATGGAATCTCCTCACCCCCACACACAGGAAACACGTCACTTAATTTGCTTAAAAGACCCTCCTCTCCTCCACTCCCTCAGTCATCACGAGAACCGAAGGCAAGCTGGAAAAAGACAAGGCACATACAGGCAATACAACCATATCACATTAATACTACAAGCATCAATGGGCGGGCAGTTGCTGTCCTGGAAGACTAATGGAAATAGAGTTACCGGTAAGTCCTAACTCTGAATTTCCCATAACGTCTTCCAGGACAGCATCACGAGAGGATAACCAAGAACTTACCAATTAGGGCGGGACCACCGCTTGTAGTACCTTCCTGCCAAATGCCTGATCCCCTGCGGTATTGAGATCTAGGCGATAATGCTTTGCGAAGGTGGAGAAACTTGACCATGTTGCCGCCTTACAAATCTGTTCCGGCGTAGCACCAGCTCGTTCGGCCCAGGACGTTGCTAAAGCTCTAGTTGAATGTGCTGTCACCAAAGACGGGGGTGGAACATTTAACACTCCATAAGCTTCCATAATGGCCTGCCTCAACCACCTAGCTAAGGAGGATCTAGAAGCTTGCTTCCCCTTGGACCTACCAGAGAACAGCACAAACAGTGATTCAGATCTCCGAAATTCCTTGGAAATCTTCAAGTACTGGAGCAAACAACGTCTCACATCTAAACAGTGAAAACCTGATTCCCTGCTACCTACTGGTTTGGGACAGAATGTAGGTAGAATGATCTCCTGCACCCTGTTGCACCTCGAAGCGACCTTTGGCAGAAAAGCCGGGTCTGTTCGAAGGACAACCCGATCCTCAAAAATAGACAGGAACGGTTCCTTAATGGATAGGGCTTGGAGCTCACTCACCCTACGAGCAGAAGTAATAGCTACCAAAAACACAGTTTTTAAGGTAAGGTTTCTAAGTGAGACCTCATCCAGGGGCTCAAAAGGAGCGGCTGTGAGAACCTGCAACACCGTAGACAAATTCCATTGGGGAACCGAACGGACCACCACTGGTCTAAGCCTTTCCAGGGCTTTAAAGAACCTAGCCACAAGCTGATCCCTAGCTAGTGACACCTGAAAGAAAACGCTGAGTGCTGATATCTGAACCCTCAGGGTACTAACTGCCAGCCCCATATCAGCCCCCTGTTGTAGAAAATCCAAAACGGCTGGGACTGTGTAATCTCTATGATTACGGAGCCTCCAAGAGCTGAACGTTTTCCACACTTTCCCGTATATACGCCTTGTTACTGGTTTACGACTGAACAAAAGCGTATTGATCACACCTGTGGACAGACCCCTGGCCCTTAAAATGTCTTCCTCAGATAATAAGCCGCTAGCTTGAACCTGAGGACCTGCGGATGCAGCACTGGTCCCTGCGAGATCAGATCTGGTCTGTCGGGCAGGATCCAAGGTGAGCGATCCGTGAGTGAAAGCAAAAGGGCAAACCAGGCTCTCTTCGGCCAGTATGGTGCAATCAATATTAGCTCTGTATCCTCCAACCCGAATTTCTGAAGGACTCTTGGAATTAGATGCAACGGGGGAAATGCGTAGCATAGGGGGAAGTCCCATGGATTTGACAGGGCATCCACAGCCAGAGCGGAATCCCCCTGCTGGAGGGAAAAAAACTTCCTTAGTTTTGCATTCTCCTGAGTTGCAAAAAGATCTACCACCGGCAAACCCCATTTCTCTGAAATCAGTGAAAATACTTCCTGGTTCAGGACCCATTCGTCCTGCAGTATCCGATGCCGACTCAGATAGTCCGCCAGGATGTTGTGGGTACCCCTCAGGTGTACTGCAAACAGGGACTTCAGATTCACTTCCGCCCAGGAAAATATTTCCTTGGCTAGAAGCTGCAGCGGCCAACTTCTTGTGCCCCCCTGCTTGTTCAGATAAACCACCGCTGTGATGTTGTCTGAGAGAACCAACAGATTGTGTTCTTTCAAAACGTCCTGGAAAAACCTGATCGCGTTTGCGACCGCTTTCAACTCTCTCCAGTTGGAGGACCTTCTGGACTCTATTAGAGACCAGCGACCCTGCGCTAGCCTCTCCCCTACATGAGCTCCCCATCCCCACGCACTGGCATCTGTGGTCAAGCGTATGGAGGCTTGAGAACTCCACTCCAGACCCGCCCGAAGGTGTGGATGAATCCTTCACCACCACAGGCTTCTCTTTACTGAGGGGGGGAGGGTAAAGGCAACGTCCAATCCCTCTTGCGAGCGATTCCAGTTCC